GGCTCAGTGAGGGACGGCGGCGGCACGAGTTTCTGCGAGTTTATTGGGTTTAGTACAAAACAGCTATGGCTAAAATTCGCTAGCTTAGGAGGAGCTGCTACTGGCGAAGTCTCTTTCCGGGCTGTAAAACAATACTTCAAGTTATGAGGGAAGGTGAAGCGGTACTGAGAGGGCAGGAGTTAGGAAACGTTTCGGACTCTAAAGAAGGGAGAATGCTGGAAAAAGAACAGGATGCTCAAACCAGCTACATCTGATTAAAAATAAGCATTTCAACGTAGGTAGACTTTACATGAGAATTTGTCAAGAAGTATTCCAATATTAAGCCAGCTTATTCATACACTCCAACTTAGTTACTTTATCCAGAGAACCAGGGAAGAGGAAGGGCTCTCCCTCCCTAACATTATTCCTGCAATGCCAGATGTTCTCCTCCTTTCAGGCCTGAGGGCTCCTGTTCACCAGCACCTCAAGAACCCCAGCCTGCGTACCTGTCTCGCTGCTAGACTGACATAATTCGGCTATCATTGCCTCAGGTAGGAGCACCACACAACACAGCAACGCCTGTGTTAACTCTGGGCAACTTCAAGCTTGCTCTGCTTAAGTGCATCAAACACTGGCTCCGATCGCTTTACAGTAAAGCTCTGGCTTTAGATCCAGGTGTCATCTCCTGACCGCATGACTCACTCATAGTTAAGGCCATAAAGTCTTTCTACTTTGCAAAGATTCTCTTCTCTGTTGTAGTTAGATGCTGGGAAAATAAATTCAAATAACTGAAAATACAATGAGAACATATTTCAAATTCTGAATCTACAACCGAGGTTCTTTAACCAGAAACATCCAACAGCACAATGCCCCCTTTTCTTCCTTTGTTCCTTCTTCACTTTGAAGGCACTTCTGGATTGCGTAGTACATGCTCTTTGGCTGCACAGACAGTCAGAACACATAAGGCTTGCATGCTAGTCACTCCTCTTCCTTCGTATTACTGGTCTCACTCTCTTGTTTCTTATCCGCTCCCTGATCTGTGGGCTTTGCAGCACTGTCTTCATACTGACACAATCTGCTTCGGCTTCGGGCTCCTGGCTGGTACAGCTGCATTGCTGGACGATCCTGAAATAAATCAAAACTATTTAGACTCTTTCATAGCCCCACGCTATCATGGTTATTATGGCATCAGTGATACTAGAAATGGCTCAAATCCAAACTTTTCAAGGTGTTCTAAGTTAAATTATTCCACCATGGTGGCAACGTTAACTTCAACTCTCTCAAATCAAGGTTGTCTCTGTTGTAAGGCAACATTCCTGTTCAAGCGACAAAGAACACTGCACATAGCTGAAGTTATTTGTAAAGAGTTTCCTCTTGAGACGAGTTCAGCTCACCCTTCTCTCAGAATAGAGGCCAACTTCAAAGCTTTCTCAAAACCCTGAGTTTCATTTGTACCCAATAATGCCTTAAGTGACATGGAAAACTTGCATACTGATGCTGCAAGACCAGATTTGCAGAGTATATAAAACTAAACTCAAGACATTATTTCTTGAGTCTACAGGAGATCTGTCATATTCTGCACATAGCAGTCTTGTCCCTGTTTTGGGGGAACCTGTTCAACCACTCTCCCACTTTGAGATGTATTTTCAGCCACATACAGCATCAGCAGAGATTACTGATGCTCTACCAACACCTTAAAAATACAGCCTATGGCCTAAGTCAGCAAGTGGAAAGGGATCAGTGTCTTTAAAGTTTAGCCCATGGTATCTTGGCTTAATCCCTGTACAGTGACAACAAATACCACAAACAGTTTAGCAAAGTTTAGTGGACCAAGGAGCACGCTTTCTAGCACTGCTGACTTTGTTACCAGAACAGGGAGACTCTTCAACAGAGAAACCGCACGGTTCTTCCCTTACAGTGCCTAAAACCCACAAACGAGTCCTATGAATCAACACATGAATTTAAAAAAATCCAGCACCTTGTTTCTGATACGATCCCTCTTAATTGTATCCTCTTTTTTATCGTCTTTGGTTACTTTCTCAGATTTGTCCGTGCTGCTGGTAAAGTCTGTAAGATCACTTTTCTTTCCCTTTTCTCTGAGTAAGTCTCTCTCCTTTTTCACCTCTTCCTCTTTTCTTCTAAAAACCTTCTCTTTCTCAAAGCGCTCTTTCTGCCTCCGACGCTCCTCTTCTTGGCGCCTCAGTTTCTCCCTCTGTGCTCTCTCATATTCTCTGTCTCTTTCAAAATCTCTATCTCGGTCCCTGTAGTCCTTTACACACTCATCTTCTGATCTGTATGAAAACAAAACTGAAAATTAAGCTCAAAAGATTCATCAAAAAGAGCTGGGAGATCAATGTAATACTGGTGTAAATTTGCAATACGAAGCAGACAGACTGGTAGGTTCTAGGGAGCTTTTGGGAAGCTGTAGTAACCTGAGTCATGCACGATAACCAGAGATGACACTGACTGCTAGCATTTCCTAGCCTGCTACTCACACCGAGTCTCCTCCGGCTTTGGAAAACACCTAGATTTCTCTGTCTCATCTGCATTTCTCACATGGCAAAACTGAAACTTGCCCAGATCATGGAGCTGTTGAGAATGACACTTTCCACTTCGACCTTTTACAAGACTTAAAGGGACTACTAACTGGAGTGCACCTCTCCTCTTGCCATGGTTATAATTCTCTCATTGCAAGGACAGCGCTCACAGCCTGCCGTAGGTCACTTACACCTGCACTTCTTTTGCAGAGTTCCTACAGTGAGTTGCAAAAATATTAAAATTTGTCCACTAGTGAAGAATTGTCAGGTCATTGACACAGTTTTCCGTAATCACGGGGATGTGCACTGCCACAGAGAACACATCCCGTACCTTACATCAGAAAAATAATTTGAAAGGAATTTCAAAACATGGTCATGGCAGAGCTGCCTAAGCCTCAGTATGGTCAGGAAACAAGGTATATATACATAATATATATTTATAGCAAGTACTAGAATACTTTTTCGCCTTCTCTTCTTTTGTCTCCCCATCAGATCGTTTGGCAGATGCACTACTCGCATTTTTTTCCTCCCTCAGAGTCTCTTTTTCCAGTTTCTTGGATTTTTCTTTTTTCTCCAAGTCTTTTTCATCTTTTTCAGGCTTCTTAAGTAGCTACAAAGAAAACAGAAGTCTCAACTAAAAAGCTCACTCTAATACATATTGTCTGGCACAACACCGAAATTGCATCAAAGGAACCATAGTCCAGTAAGAAATAAACATTAAAGTAATGTTACTGCAAATTGTAGTATTTCTAAAAGCTGGAGTGTATGAGTAAGCATAATCCACACAGCAGACTAGGATTTTTCTCCTAAAGCAGGTCATTTTAGAAACCTTAAAAATAGTCTCCATTCCATAGTGAATTCAACGATTCTGTTTACCACAGCATGTACAACAGTCACATGACAATAGCTTTAAATATTACTATGAAGCATTACAGCATGTAAACCTTTACAATGCCTAACATCAAATATTACAAAAAAAGTGGTAATTTACTAACATCAAACTCATGTGATTCTTCACACAATACTCAAAACACATTTTGAGAGACTGATATACAAATAATACGGGAAAGGGAGTGTAACAGTTTATAATAAAGAACTGTTCTAGACCTTAATCTTTGGTTCTTCTTTTGATCTGTCTCTTTCTTTTTCTGGACATCTGTCTACTTTCTTCAGTTTTTCTGCTTCTTTTCTCTTCCTTCTCTCCTCCTCTTTCCATTTTCTTCTTTCTTCTTCTCTTTGTCTTTTTCTTTCCAATTCTCTCCTCCTCCTCTCCTCTCTTTTTTCTTCTCTCAGTCTCTGTGTGTGTAAAAGCAAAGAGAAATCATGTATTTGCACACTAGAAAACATCCCTTTAAGCCCAACAAGACACCCTGCCACAGTGATGAAGTATTTCATCACCAAATAACTCAACTCAAAACCACCCCTATTATAAAAGAAAAAAAAAGTCCTGTCATCTCTATTGTTCTGTTGTGAACCTGAACATGTTACAGCAGCATTTCATTTTTTTCTTCCTCACTCATAAGCCTTGATTTGTACTGTCTTAAAAACCACACACACAACACTAGCCTTGGCCTTTGTCATTCTAATTTTAATTAAATCTGCCCCACCTGTGATTTTCTCCATTGCTAAAAGTTAAAATGAGATTATGTGCTAGGAGAAAGATCATCTACAAGGACCTCAGCCATAGCTGCATTAAAAATGACAGCATTAAAATGGAATCTGTTTTGGCAGTGCCACAGAGATATTTAGCTGTGACCAGAATGCACATAAAGCACCATCACTCCTACAAAAGCCAGCATTCTAGTAGTTTAAACTATGTGAACCAGATGTTAACAAGGAAGTTGGGTCAAAAGCTTCTTCTTCAAAGAAAGGGCAGAAACCAATCAACACACACATTTCAATATACACACCCATGCTTTAAACAAGCAAGTTGTACTTGCAAGCAACAAGAAGATTCTGGAGAGAAGTCCTACCTGTTTATTCTTCAAGAAGTTCAATAAAGGAGTAGTCTTTTTAGCTAGAGAATATATGAAAACAAATGTAAACAGTTTGCCTTATCCAATAGTGCCATACCTACAACAAAACCCTACATAAAATGAAGAAGCCTTATGGATTATCCAGCCTATCTCCTCTCACATACAGCAATACAGCAGTGAAACAAGTATTCCAATCCTACCCCTGAACAGTGGCAACTATTAGGATTCTATAAACTTCTTTAGGACACTATAATATGATATCCAGTACACCCATCTGTAAAAGGATATTCAGCTTGCATTAGGCTTTTCCCAGATTCTCTCACTTTGAAAGAGGTACCTGTAACATGCTTAAAAAGAGAGTCTTCTGGTCATTTTTGTGGTTTTTTACCCAACCACAATATCTCTTAACTTGTGCCTGCATGGAACATCACTGCATCTCGCTGAAATGCAGCCACTCCACAGCCTAGTCTGACTAGCAGCTTAAAACAGGAAGGAATATTATCATATAAAACTTAAACCTAGAGAAGAATTTAGAGCATGGGAGCAAAATAAAATGCACTGAATAATATTAGCCTAAAGGTTTAGCAAATACCACGTGAGCACACAAAAGAATTCAGTCTCCTCAAGGTTGAGAAATCACAGCTTCAAATTACACCACATACATTTCTTTGTGCTCTAGGAAAGTGTAACTATAGTACATAGATTTCCATACCTATTAGCTCTTTGTTTCTTGCCTCTATTTCCTCCAACAAAGTTTCAGGAGTGGAGGTTAATTTTTCATCATCTGCACTGTAACTTTCCAAAAACTTCTTGTACTCTGGATCTACAGGGGAAGGCGCGGATAAAATTAAAAAAAGAAAGAAGATACACTGTAGCATGAAAAGAATTTGCATTGTACACTGCTGGAAGTCTAGGTTAGCTTTGTATAAGTTGTGTTGTTTATATGCCACCTTTTCTTAAGTTGGCAGCTCTCAAATGAGCTGCTGCATTATGTTTGTCTAGGACAATCATATTTAACAGATTTGCAGCTGACAACGTGCTAATAAGCTTCACATATAATTAAGCAAACATTCTATTGATAAACTACAGTGTCACAGTAAGAACATTATATTCAAATTACTGCTAGGACTTCAAGTCTACACACGTAAAGCAAACTAGCTAGCTGTTATACCATCTTCGATAGTTCCAGTTTTGGCATCCTTTTTCTTACTCTTCTTTTTTGCAGCTTTCTGGAAAGGTGCAAACTCAACTATGGCAGCATATTCCTGACCTGTTAAGAGGAGAGGGAAAAATACATTAAAATAGAGACCGAACAGATATAAAATAGAGTATATTGTCCATGCCTAAAGCAGGAGGATAAGCCTCACAAGAAATATGCAATACTAGAAGAGACTACTTGGCACAAAAAAATTATTGTATTTTGAAAGCCATTTAATAAAAACACATTTTAGAGACTCTCATTACATTAACAAAACAGTAAATTCACAGACTCACAACAAGAAGGAAATACTAGATGGAAGACTGCCTATAACTGTCCATTCAGCCACCTCAGCTGCACCACACCACATAATACCCTCATCCTACAGACTATGCATTCATTGTGCAAGTAGAAGAGAATACTTTAAGTTAACGCAACTGTGGCAAATCTCAATTTTTGGCAAAATACAATAGAATACAACACATTACAGGCAGGCTTTAAAGTTTTATCTTCTGACAAGAACACTACATTTATGGCTGCATAAATCCAATATTGCTGTTGGGTATGGCAAATACAGCGTGCTGTTACACTGCAAACCAGCTTATTTAAAAGATCTAGGTGTTACTAGAACCTTGTCATGCAACCCTCCTAAATAAGGAGTAATCTTGCGGACAGAGTTTTGTGTCACATAAAACACCCAGCTGGATGAAATGTAAAACATGGGTATTTGAAACAAAGTTCAAGGTGAAATCCTCAGCCTACTGAAGCCAAAAGGAAGACTCTTATAAAAGCTTTTGCTAAATATGTAAATTTAAGGTCTATCAGTGACAGCCTAACAACTTTTAGTGCTACCTAATGTAAGCATTTTGAAATGCAAAAACTAAAAACATGAGGTGTACTGAACAGCTAACGTGTATTTAGAAAAAAGATAAGCAGCGACTAAATACTTGGATGTTTAACCAATGAATTAAACAAAATATTTGTTTCCTACAGATTAATGTCTCTAGAGAGTGGTCACTTTCACAACTTCAACTGCAAGGAAAAAACTGTTCCTTCTACTGAATCAAGATGACTCAACTCAGTTGTAAATTGGAACAAGTAATAATCTGAATTAAAAACTGACCAAAAAATAAGTCACACTGTTAGAAGGGTCCAGAACAGGGGAGGAGAGTAGCAGAAGGGGGCATCATTAACCTCAACTGCGTTTAGGTTGGACAGTGATACCACCTACTCACTTTCACTTTCCAGAGTTTATACTAAGGTATGACAATGCAAGTATTAACCTCCGTAACACAGCAACTGCTTTTACATTGATACCACTACTACTTTGATGTATGCTTAACTGGGTTTTACACATAATATTAAAAAAAAAAATCGATTTAGAAATATACAAAATCAATTTAGAATCATTTCCACAAAGCGCAAGACATTTTCTCTGTTCTTTGACATACTGCGTGGCATTCACTTAAGGCACTAAAAAGGTTGTACATGCTATTCACATATAATAGCATTTAATTGCAAATACTCGCATCTAAATAGGCAACTGTTTTGTGAAGTCATCTGGTTGCTCCCAAGTCTCCCTGGCTGATTGTCCTCCTCTGCACTTGCTGGTTTGGTTTTCAGTTTGTTGTTGTTTTTTTTTTTTTTGTTTAAAAAAAGGGAAAAGAAAAAGAAACTGCACTCAAGTTTTTAGTTTGGGGGTTTTTTTTTTCAGTTTTGGACTAATGATCTTAGAGATCCTTTCCAACCTTAATGGTTCCTAGTTTTTACTTTCATTAAAAAATATCCAGCCACCAAGCCAGGAAACATGAAATTGTTACTCTACCCTTAACTGGTTCAGTGGTGGACTTGGTAGCGTGAGGTTAATGGTTGGACTGGATGATCTTAAAGGTCTTTTCCACCCTAAAGGACTCTACGATAAAAACAGACGAGCCAGAAGCGGCCCCTCAGGCCGCTCACACCGCCCCTCCGCAGCTCAGCCCGCATGCTGCGCACAAGCCAGGAACGACGTGAGAAATTAGGAAAAATTTCTTTACGGAAAGGGTGGTCAAGCATTGGAACAGGCTGCCCAGAGAGGTGGTGGAGTCACCATCCCTGGAAGTGTTCAAAAAACGGGTAGATGTGGCACTTTGGGACATGGTTTAGTCTAGTCTACCCTTGATTGGTTTAGGTGGGCTTGGTAGTGTAGGTTAATGGTTGGACTGGATGATCTTAAAGGTCTTTTCCAACCTAGACGATTCTACGATTCTATGACGCGAAGGCAGAGCCGGGCGCCGCGCACTTGCCTTTGTGATCGACAAAAACATAGCCGTCAAAGCGATCCCTGAAGAGGACTATGTCTTCCTGGTTTTTAAAGTTGATGTAGGCCCTCGAGAACATGTGAGGGTACAAGCTGCAGAAAGACAAGACCGAGAGAGCGGGGCTGACGGGGCGGCGGCGGCGGCGCCTCCCGGGGCCCG